AATAAAAACAATTTACATTTCAAAGTTCTGCTGCCATGTTATTTGAAATATAGTACTTTTCTTTATCATCTTGAATAATAATGTGGTGGAAAAAGAATTTGGACTAATAAAAGAGCTTCTGACTGCCCAGTGAAGTCTGTTTCAACCTGAATGAGCTTAATTTAAATTTAAACCCACCAAATTCCTCTCCTCCTTTGGAATCATGCCCACAATCAGATGGACTGCAATCACAGAGTGCATGAATCCATTGCAATTAGTAATTTACTTAAAATTATAACAGCTTATGCATGGTGCTATATAATGGAGAGATACCAGATGGAGTTAGATTAAAATCTGCCAGATACTTCTACAGAAGCTGGAAAAGTAGTCCTCTCCCATCATGTTTTACAAACTTTCAGTAACTTCATGTAATACTTTTACCTGGTCAGTTGTCACTGGTAATAATTTTAATGCAGGTAAGCCTTGCTTGTCCCAGTGACTAAATTCACAGTATGCTCCCAAACCTGTCATTAATTGTACAGCTTATGATATTAGGCGGCATGTCCTACTTATATATGTCACAACAGATACAGGTATTTGTGCATTTGCATGTGAACCATCTTCATTTCCAGAATAAAATTCTAGATAGCTAAATTGAAAAGATCATGAGTATTAGGATAGCAATAATATACTCAAAGGTGATGTTTTCTTAGTATACAGTATTACTTTTATTTATATTAAGATTTTATGACATGATGTACATGAGAAGGATTCTAATTCTCCTCAACTGTTATCTGTAGATGAAAGTCTCCTCTATTTTATAAACTGCTTTCAAAATCAAAGAAAGACATATGTTTAAGATCGCTGATTTGTGTTGTAACAACTAAGGTAAAAACATTTCTATAAAAGCTAGCAGTAACAGCTAACAGTAACAAATATCAGGAATAACATAACACTCTTCTTCCAATGGATAGAAAAGGAATTGAGTGATCTTCAGAGGTATAAATACATTTTAGGTCCTTAACAATTGTACATTTGTACTTTCTATCTGCTCATAGGACCTGGATATTTACGAGACCGCCTTCTGCCACAGATTCCCTCCCACAGACCGGTACGCTCCCACAGAGCGGGCCTCCTCAGGGTGCCGTCGGCCAGGCAGTGTCGGCTGGCGACCCCCAGGGGGAGGGCCTTCTCTGTGGGTGCCCCCACCCTCTGGAACGAGCTACCCCCCGAGATCCGGACGATTCCGGATNTTAAATAGGGAATAATTTTTAAAAATTTTCAAAGATTTTAAATATGACACAGCTATTAATATATTTGCTTTTTAATTGGTTTTATAGGGGAAATGTTTTTTTTTTTGTGTTGTTTTTTAACATGCTGTGAGCCGCCCTGAGTCCCTCTGGGGAGAAGGGCGGCATAGAAGTTTAAATATAAATAAATAAATAAATAAATCTGCTAATGTTAAAGCTACAATAACAAGAAAATATACAATGCAGATATAAGCACTCCCTAAATGACCATCCCAAAGACATGAGCTTAAATACTTGAAGTCAGTGTACAATAGAGAACAAAATCCACCTGGCTAAGGTAAGTTAGCATTATTTAAAAAAATAAAATAGGAATTAAGCTCATAAAATTATTTTATTGCAATCTAATTAAATACCAACAGTCATGCAATTTAAATGTCCCAATAAATTCCTCTTTGGTTCAAGTGGGGATGAGATGTGTCTTTAACCAATAATGAATACACTTACTTTTCACAAAAATGTGAAAAAGCTCTGCTTTCAATTATTCCACCAACAAGCAAAATACATACGCATGGATTTAGTGATTACAAAATGCTCCCAGAGAGACCAACATCAGTTTTTTTCATTATCAGCAGGATTCCAAAGGTATCCCAAGAAATTGTAGAGAAAATCATACCTATAGACTTGTCTTCATGACCAACCGGATTCTGCTTTTTCTCATACTGAAATCTGGTAACTTAGTGAGACTGGGAACTGGGCTTGGAGGAAATGTAGATTAGGAACTTGATCTGAATTCCTCTTTCACAACATTCTAGTTCAAACTATGTAGTAGAACAATTATAGAACTATTTAAATAATAGTTCTGACTAGTATCAGAATGAAAACAAAATTATGCAATTCCAGTGAGATTAATGTTGCTCCTTCAGGAAAAAGATTTTCAACTCTACAAACTTAAGAATCTGTTTACTTCTTTTCAAAATGTCAGTTCTTCTAAAGCTGTGAATCCCTGAAAAGGACCAGCAGAATTGTATGCTCATATAATGTGTAAATCAGGCTCACATAACTACATCCATGTTAGTGTACAGATAAAACATCAGATCATAGGAATCCTGAAATATATTATATTGAGTCATACTGGTTCCATCTAGTGAGAAGATTTCAGACAACAGGATTTCCTGGCGATGATGGGAATTCAACTTGGGACCTTTTGTCCCTACAAAACTTAAGATCCAGTTTTATGCAGTAGCTGAAGTGCTGGACTAGAAACAAGAACACCATGAGTTCTAGGCATCCATTAGGCATGAAAAAGCCAGCTGCGCTAGTAATTTTCTCTTAGATCAGAGGTAGGCAACCTTGGCTCTTTTATGACTCATGGACTTCAACTCCCAGAATTCCTGAGCCAGCATTCTGGGAACTGAAGTCCATGAGGCATAAAAGAGCCAAGGTTGCCTACCCCTGTCTTAGATCAATCCATTATGTGGAGAAAATGGGAGGCAGGAACATTACATATGTACGTCCCTTTGAGTTATCAAAAAATAAAAGTGGAATAAAAATCAATTGATCAAACAAACATTCTACTATACCTAGAATAAATTGCTTGTCCTGCCACTCCACTACTGTATATCTAGTACTTCAAGAAGGGCTTTCAAACATATTTTAATAGAGTTCTATTCTAGATTCTACTTTACCGGAAGCAAACATTTTAAAATCAAGCCAATCCATATCCATTTGGACTGAACTTTCTACAATATACAGTGCCTCTCATTCTCATTGCACAGTTGGAAAGTTTTATTTCTCAGTGCAGCCAGGAGACCACTCCCATAAATTTTATTAATTTAATGAATACATTTCACTGAATTTCAGAAAGACTCATGAATTCCATGGAAACAGGCTTAGCAACATGATCTAATTATCGTTCATGTTAAATATTTTCAAAGAGATGAACTAATTAGTTATTTTTTTTACATTTAAAGAGGAATTGTAACGGTTAAAAAAACAACTGTTGGCCACTCTGTTTCATGGAATATATGCGTCACCAGTTTACTCTGGTTTCACATTTTCCTGTAGCACAAAGGATACATTGATTACGTACTTTGTGATATAATTTATCCCTTAGCTGCAACTTGCATCAATATATCACAATCTTTCCTGCTTTTACATGACATATTGCAATTTAATTCAGCTCTGCAAGTAAATAAAAATATCCAAGTGCTCAAATGTTTACAAGCACAATTACATTTACCTGTGTGTTACAAAATGGCTGAATCAATTGTCTTGCCATTAGCTCTTCTGGAAAATGCTAAGGAAACTGCTCAACTAGTCTGATTTTATATCCCAAGAACAAAAGAATAACCAATTTTTAAAGGATCACATTCTAGAAAAAGTAGAAATTTCATGTGAAGTGTTTTTCCTCACTTTTAATCATGAGGGATGCTCAACTGCTTTCAATGAATCATTCTGCAAGTAGGATAAGCTTTTTACTCAGCAAATACTTTCACCTCCAGAAAGGGTGCTGTGAGGTAAAATGTCTATCTAGAGGCCAGAATACAACAGCTGTTGTATTACCCATACCAAACAGTGACAATACAATGACAACACATTAACAAACATCAACAAAGAGGGTTGCTTAAAGCAGAAAGTGGTGCTACATAACCTCTGCTTTGAAGTAACTTGGAGAACTGTGGCCAAGTGCATTCACATTGCATGACACAATTATTATATTCAGAAACGATATGGAATACGAGGGCAGGCATAATCTTCAGGGTTACGCACATTCTCCTCCCCCCTTTATTCATATCCCATTGCAAAAGGCTGCAATTATATTTTGTGGCAACTCATTTTACAGAATCATCTGGATCCCATTTATCCAAAATACAGCTTGCCTCAAAATTAAGATCACAAAATAGAATTGTGGTTTGTGATCCTTGTTTGCAAGAAATAACAGTACTGCAAACCACAATTTATCATGTTCAGATGTAATGGCAAAAAATTATTTGAAACAGAAACTTTTAATTTGCCTTCCTACCATGTGGAGAAGAAAAGAAAGAATATTGTTCAGAAGTGAAGAATTTGTGGCCCTCAAAGATTGCTGCATAACAACTCCCAACTTAGCCAATGCTGGAATTTAGTTCAGTGACATTATACACCCAAGCCAAAATGCATTATTCCCTTCATCTCATTGTGATGAATACCTGGGGGGGGGGGGGAATATCGTACGCTGGATCAAATTATTTGTCTAGCCCTAATTTTCTACTTGACCGCATCGCCTCAATATTCCCCATCACCTGCTCTGTTTTAGCTGAGTAGGTCACAGACTGAATCAGGATTTGAAATATACGAAGATATATTCAGTAGGTAGTCTCTGGACTCATCCCAGACATTCAACATTATGTTTCAAAGCAGATAGATGCAACACATTTGCATAGGAGAAATTCTATTGAGCTAAAAATATAATTCTTTCATGGTTTTTTATACTTTATAAGCAGTAAAAAAAACTCTTCAAGGCTACACAGTCTTTACAATGGAAATTTATTTTAAATTGGACCACAAGCATTTTACACTTTCCTACAACTTGATACTATTGGCAAAACAAGCCACCAGATAAATCCAGAGCAGTTCTGAATGTACTTTCTCCATTCACCTATTTTGTACCTGATCCAGGGATTTTACAGCATGAACCTGAATCATTCTTATGCAAGGGGAAATCTTTGTGTGATGATGTTCCATTTGCATAATTGGTACGTTTTATCGTTTTATTATTCAAAAGATACTTACTTTGTAATACGATCAATGTTAGCAATTTGCTTCTGGTTTCTGATGATTTCTATAGCTGACCAAAGGTGTTGGATAGCCTTTGTATCTGCTTGTCGCCGTTTTGTTAAACGTGCCATGTCCCCTTCACTTGCTGAACTGCAAGAGAAACAGCAATTGGAAATAAGATTGTCTTACTTAGTAACATTAAAAGTCACTGTTTTAATTTTTTTCGTAAAGATGCATCAGACAATGTATGTTTAGTTTTATAACCCAATATGGAGCCAGTCAACTTCTGATTAATGAAGTTATTTATCAGGCAGAAATTTGAAAAAGTATAAAGGGATCCCCCTTAGAAAAGAATTAAATCACAATAAAGCTGGTGCCATTTAGCAAAATAGATGGGTCTTATGGAGACTAGTTCGTATAAATATGTAAAGTAATATTGTATGCAAAAATCAATCTAACTTTAAACTGCAATTTCTTTACAACTCAACTGGCTGCTAAAGAGCAAAACAAAATTGCTTCTTGGGCAACATGTAGCCAGTATCAGTTTTTAGTCTTCTTTTCCATATACAATATTCTGTTATCTTCCTTCCTCCCTCAATATATGAAACTCAACACAGAAATTTTGGAATTTCTGGAATACAGAAAGGGAACATAACATAAGACAACAGAAACTTCCATGTCTATCACATTATCTAGCCTAAAAAATAGGGTTCTGTAATACTGACAACCAGAAGATGTTTCTAGAAAACACTTTTAAAAGTTTGGAGGACCAAAATCTTCCTTGGAAGACCTAAACCACAAATACAATAACTCCATCTACTTTACAGCCTCTAATATGGTATCTACAATAGCTCTCCAAATCATAGTCCAATCTATCTAGGAGGAGGTCAGATTCCACCATGCAATTATCTATCTTTATTTAGACCAGCGGTCTTCAAATTTGGCCCTTTTATGACTTGTGGACTTCAACTCCCAGAATTCCTCAGCCAGCATAGGAGTTGAAGTCCACAAGTCATAAAAGGGCCAAGTTTGAAGACCTTTGATTTAGACTATCCTGTGAGCCCTCCGAAACAAGATGGCCTCCCTGAATTATTTAAGATGATTCTCACTAGCATTCCAAGCACTTGAAGGTTCTGAAGTCATATCAAACTTTCCTGTTCTCTTGTGGAAGAAAAGATATGCAATACACCAACTTTTTATCACTTGTTACTATTTCTGTTAAAAAAAACCAGTTCAATATCTTATCCAATATCTCTAATAAGACAGTTCTCCATTCATGAAGACAAGCTGTGGCCAATTGCTTTTTCTTTTCTAATTATGTTCAAATACTAACATGGATATCTCTCTCCCAGCAATTTACAACAGACCTGAGAGTTGCTGCAAAGCATGCAGGAGTTTCTCTCTTGTTTCCAGAAATGCATATTGTTCTTTCAATGCATTAAAAGTCTGCATTTCAATCATGGTTTCCTGAAGCACTGAACAATGGAAAATGGGTTTGCAGTGAGGGCAGAGGAGATAAGCACAACTAAAGTCGGACTATTTTCAGATTCATTAATTTGTAAGATTTCTTAGCAACCATCTGAACTTCTCTCTGACCTCTAAATATTCTCAACCTCAAGGAGGGGAAAAGGGTGAAATTCACTAACTCCAATCTCATTCATGAAAAGACATATCATACTTTCTCATAAGCTCTGAATGCAGGAAGTATGGTATTTAGACTCTCTTCAGTTGAATATTATTAACATAACCTATTGTGTCACTAATACTCTGAAATACTTGGTTGGAAAGCTCTTTCCACATTAAGACTGTATCCAGAATAATAAGGATCATAAAAACAGAAATTCTATTTTAAATGTGTTTTACAATATCTATGCATCCATTAAAAAAAGCAAAAAAGCAAAAAAGGGGCAAGATAAAGCTCTTATCATTTATCCACCCCGGGCCACCCCAACGATGCCCTTGACGTGATGGCCCGATGCCTGGAGGCCGTGAGGGTCTGGATGGGGAGGAACAGACTCAGACTCAACCCGTCCAAGACCGAGTGGCTATGGCTTCCAGCGCCTCGGCATAGTCAGCTGATTCCATCGCTGACTATAGGGGGCGAAACTTTGGCCCCCTCAGATCGGGTNTGGTTGTTCCAGCAAGCGGGACTGGCCTAGGGGATTTTATAGGGGTTTTAATTACTTTTAAATTTGACATTCTCAAATATTTCATTTTAATCAAATTTTAACTAGGTGTAATATGTTAGCTTTTTATCATTTGTCAGCCGCCCTGAGTCCGAAAGGAGAAGGGCGGGATATAAATACAATTAATAAATAAATAATAAAAATAAATTTATAATAAGGTTTTTACAGATTTCCTCCCCCAGCAATCTTTTGCCCATCTAAACAGTTATGACCAATAAGTTGCAACAAGAAAGCACTTTGTATTGCTACGTAAGTATTCTAAAACAGCAGACAGAATATACAGATAAGCCTTTTATTGCCTACAATCACTGCAGGCTAGAAAAGTCAATTTTTAAAGAAGTTAGTGATGCATTCTGAAGCAAGCATGGAGTGGCAGAACCTGGGGGGTGAAGTCAAAAGAGGAATCTGCCTGGAATCTCTATGCCAGGGCTTTTCAACCTTTTCACCCATTGTACCACTTTTAGGATATGGCAACATCCGAGTACCACCAGTCGCCTAGCAAGGTGTCAAAAACTTGATGACCCCCCAAAAAAGGAAAAAAGTGATAAAATACAGGTAGTCCTCAACTTACAACAATTCGCTTAGTGATGTTCAAAGTTACAATGGCACTGAAAAAAGTGTCCCCCAAGCCACAGCTGAGCAAGACACCTGCCTGCCCGGCGGCGCTCTTCCTCCTGTTCGAGGTTTTCATTGTTGTGAGCATTTCTGTTGAGGATTGACAGCGGGGGTGGGGTGGGTGGGCTGTTTGGTTTTTATTCTCCCTGTCTGCTGTGTCGTTGCAGCAGGTTTTGGTCACTTCACATGACCCTGGGACATTGTGATGGTCATAAATATGAATCAGATGCCAAGCATCTGAATATAAATCACAAGACCCTGGAGATGCTGCAACATTCCAGCTGATCGGCACTTCTTCTGGCCTCAGCAGAAGCGCCAGGATCAGCGCCGAGCTCCAGCTGGAGCCTGACACTGATCCTGGCGCTTCCGCTGAGCCCTGACAGCCCTGCAGCTCCAGCCATCTCTCACTCAGGCTTGTGCAGTGCTGCCAAAGGTTCAGCTCATTCCCCTCCCACACTACTTTTCTAGGATGGTTGCGTACCACCTGCCTGGTACCCGTACCACTGGTTGAAAAGCCCTGTTTTAGGCTACAGTTGTCCACAGTTTCATATCCCATTGAGAAGAAGTGAAGCAGGCCTTTTTCTCCATTGCTGAACTACACAAAGCTCCAACTGACTGCATATTTATTTATTTTTTTGTTTATTGCTAGTCCTTCTCTTGATCTCTGCAATGACAGTGCTCATAGAAAATCACATTACTGAGGAAACATGCCTTTAAGGAACTTACCCTGCCATCAAAAAAAAAGTTTTTTGTATTTTCTTATATCCAGTAAAAGTATTCTGTTCCCTAATATTGCAACAGACAGATTATGAAAGTGCACCAAAGTTTTCACAAATCGCAGTGCTAGAGTTGTGCAATTTAAGCTTGTACCATAAACCAGTTATACCACATTTCTTTAGGCACAGTGAGATGATCCCTTTAGTCTTAACTCCTGTTGTGTCAGTTTTTGATGTAAACCAAACCAGGAAACTAATTCTACAAGTTTGACTGGAACTCTATTGATATAAGCTAAGGTAACAGAATCTTGAAAGGTCGGCTGCATTTTCCCTTTTTTCCTCTTGTATCCCAGAGAGTTAGGCCAAAGCCTGCCTGAATTTCTTTTTAACGTTTTCCTTGTTTCTTGGGCTTAAAGCATGTATTTCTGCCAAAAAGGCCAACACAATGCTAGGCTGCATTAACAGAGGGATAGAATCAAGATCACATGAAGTGTTAATACCACTTTACAATGCCTTGGTAAGGCCACACTTGGAATACTGCATCCAGTTTTGGTCACCACAATGTAAAAAAGATGTTGAGACTTTAGAAAGAGTACAGAGAAGAGCAACAAAGATGATTAGGGGACTGGAGGCTAAAACATATAAGGAACGGTTGCTGGAATTGGGTATGTCTAGTTTAACAAAGAGAAGGACGAGGGGGGAGATGATAGCAGTGTTCCAATATCTCAGGGGTTGCCATAAAGAAGAGGGAGTCAAGCTATTTTCCAAAGCGCCTGGAGGCAGGACAAGAAGCAACGGGTGGAAACTAACCAAAGAGAAAAGCAACCTAGAACTAAGGAGGGTCTTCCTGACAGTGAGAACAATTAACCAGTGGAACAACCTGCCTCCAGAAGCGGTGAATGCTCCAACACTGGAAGTTTTTAAGAAGAGACTGGACGGCCATTTGTCCGAAATGGTATAGGGTTTCCTGCCTGAGCAGGGGGTTGGACTAGATGACCTTCAAGGTCCCTTCCAACTTTACTATTATTATTATTATTATTTTTACTTTTTAAATATAACAATCACTGCATAGCTTTTCCAAAGTGATCTTTGTAGTTCTTCCCAAATTGCTTCAGATTAATTGAAAAGTTTTTAATCTAAATTTGAGACTGCCAAGTTGTTTGATAACTTAGGGGAGGAAAATCCTGTTATTGCTTTCCCCCCCCCCCCAGTAAACTAAGTCACTGATGTGATTGTTTGCAACTGTTGTGTCTTCTCATTTCCTTCCAGAAAGTTTATGCCAGAAGCACAGGTAGCCTTTGTATTGTGTCAAAACGCATTCTATCATCATCATCATCATCATCGCCTAAACGTGCTATACGTATGTAAAATATGTTATATTTTAGTCCATCTTGTCTCCTGAAAAGAACTCAACATGACTTAACAAAATGCAACATTGCCATTTCAAAATGCCAGTCCAGAAAGTTTACTGGTCAATGCACTCAGTAGTACTATTATACAGTATTTTAGATCCATTTTCTTTCTACTACTACTCCTGCCTTTTGCTCTGAAAAACAAAGAGGATGGGGAAGCTACATCAGGTCTGCACTATGGTGATGATTTACCATAATTTCTTCATTCCATTTTTGAACTT